GTGTGATCCAGAAGAGCTGCACTCATGCGGTGACTAACATGAGTCACGTGTTATTATCAGTTAATACCATACAGCGAGTGATTATGCTCACATTATAGGGCTGAACATCATGTTAGTATATGACTCCTCTCTTAGAACGAGCATGTACGCACTTGTACGAAGAGGAAACAGAGCTGCTGAACTTTAACCTACACCATGAAATGAAACTGATGAAGTGCACTCTTGTACTGATTACTCTACACATAAAACATTGACACAACAAACCTCAGACTGTGTCCTCTGCAAAACAACACCAGAAGACAAGAACAGCTTTAAAGTGGTGGTCCATCAGACCCGCCCCTCCCTGAGCCTGGTTCTGCCGGAGGGTTCTTCCTGTTAAAAGGGAGTTTTTCCTTCCCACTGTTGCCAAAGTGCTTGGTCACAGCGGGTCATATGATTGTTGGGTTTTTTTCTGTTGTATTACTGAAGGGTCCACTTCATAATATAGAGCATCTTTTGTGTTATTATTATTAGACATTATATTATTTCAGATATTTCATATTTTAAATTTATTTAATTTACATTTATGATTCTATTCTATTATTAAATCGTACATCTTGAACAGCTGAGTCACAGTTTAGTCCAAGAAAACTGTTCTCAGTCATGCTGCTGTTTTTCCTCAGTGTCAGTTCACATCATGGTGCTCCATTATCAATCTGATTTGATAATTCAACGTGATATTTGACAATAGGGCTGCCACAAACGATTATTTTGATAGTCGACTAGTCACCGATTATTTTTGCGATTAGTCGACTAATCACATCATCATCCATTGGACATACAGCGTACAGCTTATTGCACCAGCAGCATCTGCTCTTATATAACTATCATTAGCTTACAGCTTTAAGTGTTTCAGGTCTGTGCTAATTAAAAATAAAGACAAGATGATAGTTTATTAAAGTTTAATGAAGTTTGCAGATTGTTTCGGTGAAGTTTAATAAACTCCTTGCTATCTAAAATATAACAGGACACCGGAGTAAACTCTCGAGCATCTCACACTTCTGATAATCAGCTGTCTGCTTGACGTTTATTCAGCTGTGTAAAAACTATAACTTTAATCTCAGACAAACCGATTTACTCAGGAACAAATAAAATACTGAAAAAAGCCAAACAATAACATTTTAAGCTAAGTGACGGCAGTGGGTTTGAAAACGATCTGCCGGGAGTCCGGTGTTCTCACGGCTCTAGTGACCTAGCCCCCGGCTAGCTATCGAGCTAGTGGGTAACAGACGTCTCCGAAAACGTCGGAGCGCTTTTGAAAATATGCGGTGTCTTGATAAACTGAGCAGATATTTGAGGTTTACACAGCTACATTCTCGCCTGAAAATATGTTAAACGTTTATTTTGTGACCCGGAAAGAATAATAAGAGTAATATAAAAACTAACTAGCTGCCGCCATTGTTGACAACAGAGCTGGGCTGCGCTATGAATTCTGGGACGGAGCTACTTCTTCTTCTTCGCGGTTTAACGGCAGCTGGCATCCTTGTACATGCAGTGCTGCCATCTTCTGTTTCAGTCCGTTATTACACTCTTAAATCCTGCTACTTATTCCTGCGTCTTTTGTGATCTTACAAAGCTTCAAACGACGCGTCGACTATTAAATCAGTCGTCGACGATTTTGATAGTCGACGTAATCGTGACTAGTCGACTAATCGTGGCAGCCCTATTTGACAACTCACTGCAGACACATCCCAACCTGAATAAACTACAAATCTGTGGGAAACATGCAAATGTTGTGACAACTCTGAAACCTGTGCAGCCCCAGTTTCACCAAACATTATTTAAACCAAATGTTTTCTTTTCCATTTAAGCTCCACAAACATTTGCTTTCACCATTAAAAAACCCTCCCTAATCCTCGCTGGCCGGGTCAGCTGTGAACATTAAAAATCATTAATATGCTGCAGAACAATATAAGTAGGTCAATAAAAGGAGGCGCTGATGAAGAGGACAAGGGCACAGCTGTTCATGTGCATGCCCTCAGAAGCCCACTGCAGTGATCCACACATCCCTCATCTGATTGGGCTCACATGACATCATCAGACCAGGAACTCGCTCCCATTGGCTGGAGGTGATGTCATCATTCCGAGGAACAGATAAAGAGTGCAGGAACCCGCCTCTGGTCCTTGTGCCTGACTCAGCTCCACTTTTCCTTCAGAGGTGGTCTCATTTTCTTTGTTTACAGTTTACATAACCCGGGTTCTGTCCTCAAAGTCACACCATCCTCTCAGGTCATCTGGAGCAGTGATGTTGATGTTTAAATACAGGGTACAGTCTTTGCTTTATCACTGCGATCCTGCCATCTGACTGCTTCTAGGTTTTTGGTTTTTTAAATTTGACATCATAGCATACTTGGACTCAATCAGGATTTTAACAGGTAATCTGCAAAAACAAATGACTGGTATGGTATGTGGGAGGAAAGAAAAGCTAAGATAAAAACACTCCCATGTTAATAAAAGAAGTTGTGTTGTAATGAGTTTTTAGTCAAAACGGGAGGATTTCTTAGACATGTGTCGCATAAAAGCTTTTCAGCTATAAATAAATACATATAATTAGAAATTGGGAGGAAAATAAATAGAGAATTATGTAGATTCTGTCACGAGGTACAGGAATCATATCTCCAGTTATTTTGGCATCATAAGGCTATATTGTTGTTGGTCTATAAAGGTGAAAAGTACATTTCCTCTCATAATTCATCATTTTAAAGTTGTCCTGTAACTAAATTACAAATACATCCTTAATCAATCACACTGTCCAAACAAGCTCATCCCTTTATAAACGGTTTAAATTTTACTTGAACCTGGAGTAACCAGATCTGACCCTTTCTGCTCCTCTGGGAGATTCCAGGAAGAAGAGGCTGTGAACTTTAACCCTCGCCCGCATAATTCTGTTCAAACTCTGAACAATCATTTATAGCATTTTCTTAAAGCCATTGCCACAGCACTGATTATGGTTTTTACGCAGAGAAGAGGAAAAACAACCAGTGGGAAACTCCGCGGGAACAGAGGCACAGCACAGCAGCCACATGCAGAGAGCAGTGGTGGACTAATGAGCTTCTGCATGGAATCAAACTACTAAACATGTTAAAACATAAAGCACAATCACACCCAGGACACAGCTTTCTTTAGGTGAGGTTCAGACGCTGTTACACACAGAATCCTTTGTAATGCAGTAAAGGTAAAAACAATAAAAAAAACAACCCTGCAGTTATGAAATGTTTATTTGCCTGGAGACACAAAATTGTTATTTTCTTAAAGAATAAAAAAGGAAACTTCATTTACTTTCAGCTTAAACACAAACTTTCCTTGAGCTTTTTTTTTTTTTAAATAAATTGTAGAAAGGTGAGATGACAACTCTTTAATCAAAATATATTTAAAGCTATGATTGAACATTTAAATACAGAATCATGAAAAAGGAGCTTGCCTAAGTAATATCAAGCTTTGCAGAAGCACACCGGACCCGACTTGCTTCAGTCGAATGTGCTGCAGCTGGTTTCTGACAGGTTAGAGATTCAAGATTCAAAGTGTTTATTGTCATGCGTCACAAGAGAAAAAGGCATTTCTCTGTGCAATGAAATTCTTGTGCTGTCCACCCACAGATGCCGATTAATATATAGAATAAAACATATAAATACAAATAGTACAAATAAATAAATGATGACAGAAAAAGAGGCAAAAATATGGAGATTGAAACAGATGTGTGCAAAAGAGCTAAAGCAGAATATGCTGGCTTAATATGTAAGATGACCTGATGTGCAATATATATATATTTTATTACTGTTCAAAAAAATAGTTATAAAGAGTTAATGCACAGATGTTGAAATGAGCTGCACAGCTGCACGCAGAGACTGACTCCAAACCCTGACGAAACAGTTTCACTGACACGAAATGTAATGCCACCATCACAAGATAACGCATCCTCAGGTTTACTTGTGAACATAATCTCTTCAGAGGAAAAAGTGCTGCTTAGATAAGTACAGGGTGGGCCATTTATATGGATACACGGTAATAACATGGGAATGGTTGGTGATATTAAAGTCCTGTTTGTGGCACATTATATCACATATACTAAATGGCCTGCATTTATATAGCGCTTTTCTAGTCCATAGGACCCCAAAGCGCTTTACACTACATTCAGTCATCCACCCATTCACACACACATTCACACACTGGCGATAGCAAGCTACATTGTAGCCACAGCTGCCCTGGGGCGCACTGACAGAGGCGTGGCTGCCGGACACAGGCGCCACCGGGCCCTCTGACCACCACCAGTAGGCAAACACGGGGTTAGTATCTTGCCCAAGGATATTTGGCATGCAGCCAGGATGCAGCCTGGGATCGAACCACCGACCTTCTGATTAGTGGCTGACCTGCTCTGCCACCTGAGCTACAGCCACCCAAATAAGCTTTACGAGAAGGCCCACACCTATTTTTACATATAAAGGAAAAACCCTGGATATACAGCTCAGTTCTTCTCTTTTTCCTCCTCCTTAACTGTACAAACTTTGGCTATATGTCATACAAATAAAAAAGAAAGAAAAACTTTTCATCCTGTCCTCACTAGCTTTAGGTAATTACCTTCACCCTAATCCAAAATAGCTGCTCTCGTGTAGTTTCAGAGAGAAAAATATGACTGAGAGCGTCATGTGCTTTTTATCTCTCACCAAATGTGCACAGATGAGAGGCTGCACAGCTCGTGTGAGTCACCGCCGTCTCAGCGGGCCTGAATGCAAATCGGCTGATGTTTTTACACAGCGGTAAGCACAGAATACCCAGGAGGCTGCTGAACACGGTGCGGACGCTCTGTTCTGACCTCCTGAACTTTATGTGCTGCGAGATAAGAAAGAACCTTCACTTGAATCACTGAAGGTAAAAAGAAAAGCTTGAGCTTGGCCTGTGCCATGAGGAGCAGATAAACTGTAGATAAAAACAAATAAATCACTGACTGAATCCAGCACACTAACCTGCAGCGGTCTCCGTCAGAGTCCCTGCCGAGCAGGCTCCTGAGGGACCAACGAGAGCGGCGGCTGGGTGACGGACTACGAGACCAGGAGCGAGACGGCGGTATGAGGAGGTCATGTGACGGACTGTCCTGACCTTGCTTCGCTGTCCCCATCTCAGTAACCAAAGAGGGCGAGGGACTCCGATGTTGAACAGCTCCCCTCTCTGTGGACGACTGTATCACGATTTGTGGAGTTTTGCCCCATTGCGGCTTATAAGCACAGCCTTGCTCTTCCTGTTTCCGCCTTTTGGTTCTTGTCCTACTACGGTGGGAGCCACGGGGTCGGTCGGAGCGCAGGGGTCTGGGACTAGGCGAACAAGACCAGGACTCTGTGTCCGAGGACGGCGGGAGGACGGTCAGCATTGGGACGGGGATGGGCTGAGCCAGAGTCATGCCCTCTGGTCTTGCAGGAGGGGACATCGTCATCTTTTGAGCTTTTCAGTCAAGGCCATCAAGAAGGACGAGCATTTAAAACCGACCACGTGTCGGCCACAGACAGCAACTTATTGATTACGCACCATGTTTCCTGTGAATTTAACAGATTTTCTTCTGAAGGTGCTGGTCAACTTCTCCTGAAGTGGTAAAAAAGGCAAAACAGCTCTCAAGTGAACAGGTTTGAGGGTTTCTTGCAGAGAAAAAATACGCAGCAGAAAACTTGTTGGCAGTCTCAGTTTCAGTTCTTCAACCAATCCACTTCCCGCTGTCCAGTCTGTACATATATGCTGGCAACGAGAGGCTAAAACGCTCTGCGATCCTCCCACTTCTGTGTTCAGCTTAGAAGTCTCACTCTTTTGAGTTTAGGCAGACTTTCCTGAGATAAGGAGCCTCAGAGAAAAACATAGCACTGTCTGGAAGGAGCCACCTGAGGAGCAACAAGAGCAGAAACCTGGCGTTCAAAACGCTGGCCTGCCTGGACCTGACCACAGCTATCATAAATCTGCTTCCTCACATACAAGTTGTTAAAGTGATGGTTTAACTGATTACAGACATTTCTGTCAGACAGCAATGATTATCAGAAGACTGATCAATAGAATTCATCTGTAATGAGCTAATTTATGTTTGACTATTTTTGGATCATTTAAAGAAATTCTCCCTTCAAGAAACTCTGAAATAGCCAAAACTGGGTGAATGTTGGGGCTTTCAGATAACAGCCACTAATTAAAGCCTCAAGAGACCAATTTTTAAAACGCAGCTGCTCCAGAACAGATACGCAACCTTTATGATCAAACAAGCCAAATAGGGGTAAATTAGCCGATAAACATTACTGATCGGTGTAAATGTTGTTTTATTTGTGAATTAACAAGAGATCCAAAAACCCCGAAAGAGCCTTTGTTGATTTAAAAGGGTTGATTTCAAGCGCAATGCCCCCTCCCTGCTCAGTTTTATTTGCTTTAGGTTTGAAACATTAAGAGATGCTGGAGTTTTATATCCTGCAGCCATAACTGTTCAATGGATCCTGTGGAAACATAAAATAAATAGCTAATAACAGCTACCACCTATATACCTCAAAGACGCCTCAACTCATAGTAAACTTTCAGTTTTCTAAGATAGCTTGTAAATTGAGAAAAAAAATTTGAATTTTTTTGTCAGAAAAGTTATACACCAGGGAACATTCAACTACCTTTTTTCCGATATGGTTCAATTGACTTATACCTCAAGCAGAATTATGTTTACTAAATGGGCAGAAATAACAGCAACAACCCCACACTTCTTTTCAGTATGAGACACAAACACAAACTTTGGAAAATCTGTGGCTGGTATCAAGGCCCAGCTGGCACTGCCAAGGCCAACACTATCCGAAAACAGAGTGCAGACGGGTCCTCCAACAGAGAATCACTTTGTAATTGCTTGTGCATCATTTTTTGTTAAAGTTTCTTGTGTTTACAAACTGAAACGACATTGTGCAAAACCCAGAATGTGTGTTAGTTTCAGTCTTTGGTTAAATTTGTTATCACAGCCCACCTGGTGAGGCTTTGGTGCAGATGTTTATAGAGATTTTGGAGGTCAACACTCCTGCCTTCAAAACTGCTGTGTGTTTATATGTTTTTGTAATAACTATTGTGAACTTCTTAAAATCATGATCCTCATAAATACTCTCTGCATTAGAGCAAAAACACTAAAGCTACACTGACACCAATGAAACATAATCATAACATTTTCAAACAGTGAAACGAGGAAATCCACTCTGCAAACTGAATAAAATAATATTAGCAAACGCGAAGCTACGATAACTCTGATAACTCCGTGTGTTACGATAACCTGTGTGTGTGTGTCCATTGTTTGCCTTCAAAGCGTGAACTTCCAAGGCTAGGGCCCCGGCACGTCTGACAGTATTTGATGTGATCTGTTTGAACAAGAACAATCTTGGCACAGACTTGTTTGCCCAGAGTAATCCAGCCACCGTGATCCCCGTGCACACACGAGCGAGCCTTATCTGTCCCCGCCGTGAAACGAAGCTCCTCCGACTGCACCAACAAACACACCGACTACAGCCGAGTCAGACGCACTAGCTCTGCGGTTTAAACTGTGCAAAAGTCTGCTGCTCGGTTCGTCGCGGTGCAGAAAATAACCACTTGAAAGATTTCCGACCTCCTGCCACCCGTTAAACAGCCGCAGCGCAAAGAAAGACCACCGAGGCGCAAAGAAGAACCAAGAACAACAAACTTTTAGAGCCTTAAAAGTCCGTAGAAGTCCTACCTCCCATTGGACGAGTTTCCTCCGTTTCTGTTATCCTGTTCGGCCTCGAAAACCAGCCGGGCCACGGTGCGGGACGTGATGTTAAAATCCACTTTCTCACACGAACACATCAACATGCTTCGGATGCACAGAGAGGCATCAGCCGGCCGGCTCCAGCTAACTGTTAGCCCCTTTAGCCAGCTAACCTTAAACACAGACCCGAGCTCTGAAGGCCACGACAATGATGCCGCTCAGACTTTATTCGCAGCACAGAAAGTTCCACTTACGCCTCCTCCATTTCACTTTTTTAAAAACACACCCTCCCTCACCCTGTTCTTAAAATGAATTCAAAGATAAAGACTAAAGTTAGCTCAGCACTGGAACCAAACTAACTCGCTATTGAAGTAACAGACAAAGCGTTTTTTGTCGAAAAGTGAAAAGGACGAGACCAGGGCGACCAGCTTAGTGCGCGGGGGGGAGCTGTGCTAAACCTCATCAATAAAACACAACTCCTGCTGTCTTTTTCATAAATAAACACACAAAACACACACAAAAATGTTTAAGTCTATATGTTATGATTAAATGAATTTTTCGATGTATGTGCACATACACACACATCTAACAGCCAAACGAAACGAACCCCCCACGGACAAACTTTGTGGTACGATCCGAGGAAAATAACTGTCCTGACGATGTGTGGCGAGAAGAAGAGTGTTTACATCAAACAAACGAAACCTGCTGAGAACTGGTTTTCAGTTTAGCTTCCATCAGCTTTAACCTTCGCATTATTCACTTCTGTCACCTCCAGCTGGGTCTCTATGACGCGGAGGCTCTTTTACTTCCAGGACAAGAAAAAAATAAAGTAAAAATAAATTCGGTGATGTCACAACAGCAGAGGTTCTGGGCAGCAGGTATCAGACCCGGTGGGAAATCCAAAGATTTGGCTTAATTTCAGAGTTTGTTTGAAGGGAGCAAATCTTAACCACCGCTGATGCAAAGGAGCATAGCGACCTCTTGTGTTTAAAGAGGCCTACTGCAACAACTAGTAACCCCACGCGCTGGAAATACTGCGTGTCCGTGGGTCCCTATTAAGTGAATAACAGTCATTTAAGAAATAAGAGTGTGATTGACATCTCACCTGCTTCCGCTTGCAGAAGCATCATTTGTAGGAAGGATGCAGTCTTTGGGCGATAGGTATACCAGGTCACCTGGTCTGCAGTGGAGAATAAAAGCAAACCCAAATAATGCAAATGCATAACTGTAGACGAGGTTTTGTTTGAAATTCATTTATTATATTAAAATGCCATTTTAAAGGAACGGCATAGCAGTTTACACTTTACAGTTACAGAATTAAAAAATACAGTTTTTATCTAATCTTAATAAAGGTCAAGAAGCCACATTATAAAGTAAGTGGTGGCGTATGTACACCTCACCCAGGACATTATTTATGTAACAGAAAAAACAAAATTCAGTGAGAATCTCGGGTATTCTGTATCATTTTCGAAAGAAATAATTATTTTCCATTTTCCCGTGTAATATTATCACTACTGAGACAGGATTTATCAGTCTGTGCTCATATTGCTTAAACATTTAAACAAAGTAACAGTTTAAGTGTGGATTCATTCATATTTTTCATGCTCATAATCTTTATTTTGATTGTAATGTCTTAATGAGAATTGGTGTAATTAAGATCTGCAAATATGAACTAAACCTTTCACCAGAAGGGGCAGCATTTTGAAACGTTTTCAGAAGCAACATGTTCTCATCCTAAAACATAACATATCAACGCTATGTGACAAATCATCGGGATAGTACGCTTTTGGAGGTATGAGAGTGAATCTAGACATGTACATTTATTTTACATTCTGATCATGAATCGCTTTGGAACACACTACCTGATATGGTTAAGGTTAGTGTTAGCGCTGGAATAGACGGCTGGAGCGTTACCGCTGTTGGATTCCATCCACAATCGTACCATAGGGATGCGGAAGGTTACATTTCGCGTTACTACGATACGCCTCGGGATGTAACAAATCATTGGTATGTTACGTGTTGGGAATGAGAATGGATGGATTTCAAAAGAAAATAGCCCCGAACTCGTTTCCTGTGAATTTGAATAAATTCCTTTTTACTTGTTAGGTTAAATAACGGGGTACATCAACTTTGTGCTCCATCTTCTGGTATAAAGTGAAAGTGGTATTGCATTAAAGTACAGTTCAAGTTCAGTTGATAGCGATGAAGTCATAGCTGTAGATGTTTCTTCTTATTCGGTTCATCGTTTTAGTGAATTCTGTAAGGTTTTAAATTATTTTATGAAAAGACTAATGCAGAATGTTTAAGATCAATTTGCGATCTTACACATGAGAAGAAAAAAAACCCTCATAGTTGCAGTGGGGTTTTTTCTGCCTCCTCCATCAGGCAGAGGTATTCATGCAGGCAAAAAGAGATTCAGAGGTGGCATGAAATCATAATTCTCATTTTTGGTAGCAATAAAAGAATTTGTTGTTGAAGAAAAATCGACCTGTCATAGTTATATACATCTTTAATGTTTCCCAAGAATCGCCATTGAAATCTGCACCTGTTAATGTACAGGCATGTACAGAGAAGCTTTAATTATTGTGACATCATTGGGTCACAAGAAGATGCAATATACTTTATTGATCCCCCAAGTTTTGAAGTTTCTGTGTTAAATAGCAGCTAAATAGTTATCAAATAGCTCCATAAAATAAAAAATACGATGCTCAGACAAACTAATTTAACAAGGTCACAAATACAAGACAAAAACAGCACATTTAAACTGGAAAAACCAAAATCAAATAAAGGAGCTCAGTGATCATCTAAATAAGATCAATCTCTGTGTGTTGTGGTTTGTGTGGAAACGATTTGTGTGTCTCTCAAGGTTTTTACAGTTTTAGGTGTTTTGCATGCAAAGTTTAACTTTATCATATTTACAACCTATATTTGAGATTTTATTGATCTGTCACTATACCGGACTTTCTAAAAGTCCATATTTACATAGCTGTTCTTGCACTTCAGCAGCTCAACCACGTTATGAAACAGAGACATTTGTAGTCCTTTGAGGAGAAAAACTCATATAAAGAAGTTTTTTAGTCTTTAACTACACAACCACTTTTGAATTGTCTCTAACGTACCTGTCAGTTTTGATCCCGAGCCAGCAGCTGCCTCTGCATCCTCTCAAACTGATGACAAAGCATCACAGTGACTTGGCAATTTCAGATTCTCCGTAGCTTCTGCGAGGCATCTCGGGTGTTTGTTCCTCCGCCTCCTGCAATCAACGCCTCGCTGGGCGCTGCTGCTGCTGCTGCTGAGCTCCGAGTCACATATGCAGGAACTGCTGCGCTCCAGGTTACAGGGAGTTGTGTTGTTGAGCACTTCTGGCTGCTGAACCATGCGGAGCAGGAGGGGCTGGAAACTCGATCTGAGCTAAAAATAAAGAATCATCACCAGCATAGTGAGATAGGAGGTGTGTCACTCACTGTGTGTACGCATGTGTTGGGTCACAGAGGTGCACGCACACACACTCACACACACACGGGGTTTATCATGTGTCAACATTTCCTTGAAGTCCCCCCTCCCGTATGTTCTGCTCTGGGAATTTCTTTAACCCTCCTGATTTTTGCTGCCATTATCAATCACAGACACACACAAGGCCAAAAAAGAGCAAAGAGGTAAGGACGCTTATCGCTCTAGTTACATCACATGACGACATCCTCGACCTCCAAATCAACTAAAATACACAAACGCACACAAACACGGCGTGTGTCCCACCGCCTGCTCACATTTTAATTATTTTCTCCAAATATTTGTACGACCTCACAGAGGGACGTGTTCAGGTTCACCTCACGCATCACGAGCCATTCCCCTTTAAAAACAATCCAGCCCGCTACATTCATCACGCCACCTCACCGCCTGCATCCTCCACGTGAATGTCTTTGTCAGCACGCAAGTTGAGGCCTTCAGTCGATGTCTGCTTTGGCAGCCTTGACTTGAGTGGCCTTGTTTCTGTGGCAGGCATTGACCGACTGTCAGACTCTCCAATGGCAGAAATCAAGACAAACCGAATATTACATTTAGTGGCTGAACACGAGGGAAGTGCCGGGTTTGAAATCAGGTTTAAAGAGGCTGATGAGTGCAATTTACAGCGCTAAACAGGACAGGCAGGAAGTGTGAAAGATGTCAGAGTCAGTGTGGAATATTCAGATGGATTTAAAGCAGGAACAAGAGATGTGGTGTCTAAAAGAGGAGAGGAAACACGTTTTTAAAGGAGCTGGGACATGATGTTTCATGAAAACTAATCATTTTTAAATCACTTAATCCGCGGCTGTCAGATTTATTTCGGTTCATGGGTTATCTTCACGCCAAACTTTCCTTTCTTTGGTGCAGCCTTTTCTATTTCCTCCAATCTTCTCTCTGTCCTTGTTTTCATTCATTCCTTTCCTTCATTCCTTCCTCTGGCCTAGCTTCCTTTGTTGTTTCTTCCTTCCTTTTCTGCTGAATTCCTCCTTTCTTCTTGTGCATCTTTCCTTATTTTGTTATTCTTTCTTCTTCCCTCGTTTGTCGCTCGTCTTGCTTTAATTTTTATTTTTTCATTGCTTCCTTCTCCCCCCTCTTTTTAAAAATCTTTTTTGTTCTTCTCCCTTTTGATATTTTCTTCATTTTTAACATTTCCCCAGTTTCCTTATTTAGTTCTCACTCGTCTTTCTTCTTCACTTCCCCCTTTGTTGTTTATTTCTTTTCTTTTTCTGTTCCTCCATCTTTCTTTTTTTCAACACTCCCAGTTTTCTCTGTCCCTTTGCTGTTCTTTGTTTCCTTTTTGATCTTTTCTCACTTTTTCTTTATTTCCTATTTGCCTGCTGTCTTATGAGTACACCTGTGTATTTTATTCATGCGTTTAATACATCTTTAACCTTGTAACGAGTCAGATCAGTAAAACCATTATATACTGTCGAGTTTACCCCGACCCCCATTAAATATTTCACTTCTTAAATGTGAAACTTTTACTTTTGTCTTCTTTTAACATACATTGTCTCACTGAGTTTATTTTAAATGTGCAACACTTCTGATGACTAAGCTTTGATAGAAACTGCAGTTCTTTTCTTAAAGTTGCCACAAACGTGTTGTTGTTTTTGTATCTCTGCTGAGGCGTCCTTATGGATTTCTGTGAGTACAGCTGGAAAACACATCTAAGTTCTGGTAAAACCTGCAATCAAACTAGCAAAGTCTGTCTATGATTCAGAGATAGCATCATTTTAATGTTGATGGCACATGAGAACAGCAACAAGCATTGGTCCCCTGGATGATTTTGATATTTTACTGGAGAAAATTTGAAAACTGCACTTTGAGTGAATACCGAGGGTCATATTGTGGGAGATGCTCAGTTAAAGTTTTGGTGCAGTGGTTCCTTTTGGCTCAAAGAGCCTTCCCTATGTGGTCATGTTTAACATTTGTAAATGTTTATGTCTGTAAAAATATTGAACCATGAAGGAAAATGTTGAACTTTTTACTGAAGTTATTGTATGAATGAAAGCAGCTGATTGTGAGCTACCCTTTAATCTCTGAGCTGCTTTTGTTTCCACTTTGTTTGTTTAACAAATCCTATGGTGGTTATTTTGCATGTCAGCCCTGCAGCTCCTTTCAGGAAAGAACGAACATGAAACACAGAACAGTAAACTGTGTGTATCGTAGTACACACTGAGAAAGAATATACGTCTGTTTGGCCACAACAAATTTCACTGTATCTGAAGTTATATGTAAAGTTTTCCTCTTTTGCAGGCTTGTGATTTGTCAGTGTTTGAATCAGAGGACACTTGGCTGTAGTGTTGCTGTGGCGGTCACGTTGTGGTTGTGGTTCAGGTCTCATCTTCTCAGGTTTCGTGCTGGCTCTCAGCGTTCGTAATGCCCAACTCTCCTGGATTCACACGCTCTAAATTTAGCTGCCTTAAAGTCAGACAGGACAGCACGGGAGACTTAAAACTCCTGAAACACAGAGACTCAACTTTTTGATATAAATGAAGCATTTCCTGTGCTCTGAAGCTCTCTTTTTGCCTCAGTGAAATTAAAGATTGTTGAGCTGTTGGACCAATGGGAAAATCAAAGTCTGGATTCACGTGGAAAATGAAATTCATTGGGAATCAAGAGGCAGACATGTAATCTCAGACAACACCGATATTTCTCTGCAGGCTTGACCGAGGCTCCCGCAGAGATGAGACTCTACTTTTCTTTGTTAGTTGTCTTCAGTCTTTTGGTAAGTCCAAAAAAATCCTTCCTGTTCTTCAACTTTAACTTTTAACTCTGAGAAACGATCAATGCTGGTGGCTGAAGTTTTGCTCTAATACATGGAAACCCTTTACTTTGACCGTAAAGCTCTCTTATTCTGGGAAGTTGAAAATGACTATAAACGCAATAAAACTAAAAAAGTTAACGAATTTAGTTTGTTGGACAAATATCATCAGATTCAGTGGTCTGACAGTCACGGCGGCCTTTTCGATACAATGTTGCATAACTGTCTTCATAACTGTCTGTGACTGGTTACATTTATTCTTTAGTTTCTTCTTTTTTTGTTTATTGTATTTTACAAATAAACAAATCCTGTTTTATTTCTTATTTTTTGCATTGCATTGTATTTCATTTCTACTGTGTCTTTATTTACAAAAGATGATATAAGAATATCTGCATCTATCTGTAGCCCGCTGTCCTTCTTTTCAGCCTTTGTCTCATTTTTCTCCAACTGCAGTCACTGTGTTTTTCTTGGTGTTGACATGTCGAGTTTAATTAGAAATAAAATACTCACTTATTGCTGTTTCCAGTAGCCGTCACACCTGCACACCTGTGTTTTCCGTCTGTGTGTTGTTGAAGTTGGGGCGGGGACGACAGAAACAGACTGGACGCTTCCTCAAAGAGACGCTGTTCCTGTTCGATCCATCATTTGCATCCGGAAGGACTGAAAGATGCCTCTGTTTTGTTTTTCTGTATACAAGCAATGATCTGTTCAATGACATTTGCACACATTTCCAGATTCGATGATAAGAAGAGAAGAAACACGGACAGATGTGTTTTTTAGAGTGACAACGTGCAGCATGAAAGTTTCCTGGAGCTGAATCAGTCTGATGACTCGTGTATGTGAGGGCTTTACTCACATACAGTTAATGTTACATGCAAAACATGTCTAACCTCCAGAGTTTTCAGCTTTTACGACTGTCTGTCTGATGATTACAGTGTTTGTTTTTGCCTAAATGAACACTGACTGGACACATCATTAGGTACATTTTGTTAGTACTTTTGGCTTCAGAACTGCAGTAACTCTTTATGGCACTGATTCAACAAGGTAATGAAAACATTCCTCAGAGATTTGGGGCCAAATTAAAATGACAGCATAACACATTTGCTGTAGGTTGGTTATTAGACCAGGAAACATTTTTCCAGTCTTCTGTTGTGCAGTTTTGGGGAGATTGTGTGAACTGTAGCTTCAGCTTCCTGTTCTTAGCTGACAGGATGAACACCCGGTGTGGACTTCTGCTGCTCTTCTGCAAACCTTGGTTCCAACAAGTGGTTATTTGAGTTTCTGTTGTTTGGAGTTGCTCTGGTCTATGACATCAACTAAGTATTCCAGCAGAGAATGGCTCCTCCTGCGGCTCCTGGATGTTTCCTGTTTCTCTGTAAATACGAGAGATTAATCCAGTTTTTTGGTCTTCATTCTGATGCTGAGATTGAACTTCAGCAGGTCGTCTCAAACATGTCTTCATACATGGTAAATGCATTTAGTTCCTGCCACATGATTGGACGATTAGATGTTTGTGTTAGCGAGCAGTTCAGTAGGTCTACCTAACAGAGTGCATGCAGGTGTTTTATTCATACGTGTGTGACTGTAATCTTCATGTGCAGGCGATTAAAACTATTTTGGTCTGTTATGACATGATTTATGTCGCTTTTTCTTCTTATTGCAGCCTGTGTGCTAAATTATGTGATATGTGTGTGTAACTGGAAAGACATGAGCTCTTTTATTTTGGGTATTTTTGCCTTTAGTTTTATTCTTTGTCTCTCTACTTCTTGTTTAAGTAAAGTTTTGCTTGCTTGACAATTGTGACTGCCGACAGATTCACAAAGTTCTGATTTATTTCTGCTCTTGTATTTTCTCTCTGTCTGCTTCTATTTTATATTTCTTCTCCTACTTCTTCTTCCCCTCGTCCTCTCTCTGCAGTGTCTCAGTGCCATGCCGGCTGTTCTGAGGTGGATTCTCTGACTGAGGCTGTGGCGGGAGAAGGATTCCTGCTGGGCTGCATCTCCTGTAAGAGACGAGAGGAGGTCCCTGCACGAGCCACCGTAGACTGGCATTTCAAGCCTCTGGGAGAGGAGGAGTTCAGGCATGTAAGTTCAGCAAAGTTCTCTAGTGACTCAGGTAGTGGAGCATCAAACAAAAACGTCACTGGATTTTTTTTCTTTTTATCGTTGATGTTTTTTCTTGTTTCTTGACACAAACATAAAAAAGAGCAACACTGTTCTGGACCACTTTCTACAGAATAACAGCATCACTCACATCCAGCACAGTGTGGATGGAGTTTGCACCGGAGAACCTGCACCACTCTGTGTGGGCAAATAACTCCACAGACACAAACACCACGGCATAAATTACACAGTAAACTGCTGCCACCATGGATACGTGTTGGAAAATGGATGGAGGGATGGATGGATGGGTGGATATATGAGGGATGGAGGGAGGGAAGATGAACTGTTTTATTTGTCAGTGTCTACCTTTGTTCATCTTAGATCAGCGGTCCCCAACTTTTTTTGCACCACGGACCGGCCTTTAAGGTGTCGCAGATGAACACCACAAAATAAAACGATTAGCGGTGCCAAAACAAGAAGATTTATTCATAACACACAGGAAAAGACCCAGAGAAACCGAGTTAATGATAAAAACGATAAAAAACCATGAAAAACATAAATTTCACACCTGAGCCTCGACTCTCACGGCCCGGTACCAGTCCATTGGCTGGGGGTCGGGAACCGCTGCCTTAGATGACTGATCACTGATTGGTGGAGCGTGTGAGGGTCCATACATGTAAGCTCACATGTATCCCTTCAAACTTTTTTATTATGACGTGTACCCCTGACACATCTCTGATGAGTTTTTGGTCTCAGTCATTTGTTTAAAGTCCTACTGAATACATGGTGATATTTATTTGGTACAATATGTTTCCTATTAGAGCTCAAAAGGACAATAAAGCAGGGGATGTTATAGAGCAGGCCTACCTTGTCACCGATCAGCTTATGTGTGTCTATTTCTTTATGTTCTATTCAGATATAAGTGAGGGAACAAGTATAACTAAATTCCCAGTTTTTTAATTCTTTCCCTATCTCAGATTTTCCACTATGACCATCCTGTAGCTGACATCCTCCATGAAGACTTCAGCCACCGCCTGGTATGGCGCGGGACGCTAAATGATGACATTCAGATGGGAACCGTGTATGTTAATAACGTCACCTTCAATGACACTGGGACGTATCGCTGCACCTTCCACCGTACCCTCTCCCTGCCGCTGTCTCCTGAGCTTGTCACTGTGGAGAAGGAGGTGGAGCTTAGTGTGGTGACTGTAGGTAAGGAGGATGGATTTAAATCCTTCAGTTATACAAAATATTGTTGTTCCAAGCAGTGTTACAAAAGATCTTCTTCTCTATGCATGCTGGGCGGATAGAAGAGAAGCTAATATGGGAGAAATATGCCCCTGTTAGTCTTCTCTCTGAAGCTTCATTGTCAGTTCCTGTTTCCCAGCCAATCGAGAGCTGGCTGATGTGATCTCGGAGATAATGATGTACGTGCTGGTCACGTTCCTGCAGCTGTGGCTCATTGCGGTTCTGATCTACTGTTACAAGAAAATCTGGGATGAGCACGAAGCACGTCAAGCTAAAAAGGCTCAGGCTGGGTAAGTCATGTCTGTTGTCCAGGTGATCTGTTCACAGGAAACAGGTCATTTTGGTTGTGTTGGTTTTATATCTAAAAAGATTGTTTTGTCTCCTTTGTGCACTTGTAGACAGGGAGAATCTAAAGATAACTGTGACGGGGTGCAGCTAGACTAACATCAGCGGTGAGTTGCTGTATAAATTCTCTGTACACGGAAGAATGTCTTTCACTTTGATTTTTGTGATTGTATGTTTCATTTTTTATATCCATCAGATTGGATTGGAGCTCAGGCAGAAGATCAGAGCATTTTTTTCTTTGAGATGGACCTGCTCATTTACACCTTCGTGTGGCTTTGCATGATTACAATTCAAAATAATCCTTATTTATCTCATGCTGGACCTCGAGGAAGCCTCTCAGATTGTCCTCTATGTTAAACAAGCTGTTTATTTCCCTTTTAAGGCATTTTTCTTCTGATTGGCTGCCCCTCATATGCAACAGATTTGAAAATGTGGGTGGAGCCTTTGTACCTGAGATGACCTTATTAGGGATATCCCCTCTCTCTTGTGTCATACAAACCCAAGAGTAGTTAAAGCTGAGTGTGGGCAGTCTGATGCCTGTGCTGTAATTTGTAATGCAAACATCTTCCACTGTAACATCGCATAAATGACAGGGGGGGAAAGGAAAACCTCCACTTTGATTTAAGGCTTAAAGGCCTTAAAGGTGTGAGTAACACCTTTAAATTACTAATGTTTATTATCTCATAAGTCATATTTACAAAGCATCTATTAATCCCTCATCCTGCATTACTTTAAAAACACTAAGCCTTCAATGAAGAGTTTGCGGTCAGCAATCTCCGAACAATGAAAGTGTTCGATTAAATTACTGCTTATTTGCCACAGGTGAGCTGTACTCAAGTTACCTACTATACTTATTAGAGACTTACAAGTTAGCAGTGACTCGAGAATATTCCTTCTCCATCAATAATTCCAGATAAATGTGGTCTGTTCTCCCTGTGTGCATTCGTACACCCCGGCCTAGCAGGAGCTGGAGCAATACACAAGAAAAGCCAAAAAAAAAGAAAAAGCCCACACTCCCTGCTCCAGTAGGACAACACGGCCTCGGTTTTACAATGACTAGCGGTTTTATTAAACTCAAAAGGTAGCGAGCGTCAGGGTGGGCATTAAACAGAACTGACTTAATGAGAAAACCCAAAAGAAAATACAGGCCTCCCACCGGTCTCCCTAACAGGAGAAACATTTCTCAAAGAAAACGGCTTCCCGCCCCTACAGCTACCAGGTCAACAATAGAGATCTTTTTACACTATCTACAATATCTGCAGCCTAGCTCTTCTTATCTAAGAAAACTCAATCACACCACACACGGGGCTAAACACACAGCTTGTTGGAAACAGGAAGTAGGCGGAGCCGCCAGTCCGGACAGGTCCAAATTTATAGCCGGCCTCATTCAGTCTTCTACCAATGGTCAGGCTCCACCTGCAAACTTACACAAGCACAGAACAAACAACGCCACCCTCAGGTGCGGTGAGCAGCAACAACACAAAATCATGACCTGGATCATAACACTCCCCCATCTAACATTTCTCCCACTCAAGAAATGCTTGACCCATTTGACGTGGATAAAATGATGGACAGAATCTGACAACCTCAGTTTTCAATCCTGGCCAAAAATAATAGCAGGAAACTCTATCATAAGATCTCCTAAATCCTAAAGGATCGTGGTCAAGGCCTAACAAGCAATACAGCATCATCAGTATAACACGGGTTGGATTCCAAGTGCTCGCCACCTTGCAGCACAGAGGCAGGCAGACAAGGTAGAATCAGACTGCTGAGCTCTACTGAATTGCTCTTTGTCTACTGCTAGACACAAGTTGTTTGGTATCCCAGTAAACGCCACAGATTCATTCTTATTCCCAGGCAAAGGCTTGACAAGAGTTTTAGGCTTTTAAAGAATGTATGGGAAATGTCCACTGCATCACCAAGGTCTGTGCATGAGCAACCACACATGCTAAACTGCAGAGACACCGCCCCAGATGGTGCATGACCGAAAACATCTGCAGCAGGGTTTTCAGCAGCTTCAGGGGTGGCAGGGAACATCTTTCCCCCAGCGAATTCATTTCCAAGAATAAGATCAACACCCGCGACTGGTAGCTGATCTTTCACCCCCACCTGCTCTGTGCCTGATACTAAGGGGGAAAGTAGGGTTACTGTGTGAAGCGGCATGTGCATCGTAATTCCCCCACCAACAAATCTGCACCATAGTATGACTGGTTGGAAAAAGGCATAATAACACAACGTGCCACAGATACAAGTATCCCTTAAAATTGTGAGGGAACCTTGTCCCCCTCCCTCCCAGTCAGTGAAAGAAATCCTTTAGAGATAAAAGGCTTGAAAACCTCATCCAACTCTACTGCTGGCTTAATGCGGGGACTGTGGTGATCGACGGTGGACGGACACTCTCGGCTCTATAGATGAAGCAATTTTATTCGGCAACAGCTCCTTTTCTTTTAGCACTGGGCACACAGCTGTGAGAGTTCGTGACAGTAGAAACATTTAGTTCAATTCTGGTTTAATTCAGAATAAAGCTGATCGGCTGATGTGATGCTCCGTGACTGAGCTCAAAGCGTCCCTCACTCTGTTTTTAAAGCATCAAGATGGACGAAGTCAAGATTAAAATAAAACTGCATTCACACTGGAAGCCTTTCACTCATCACTTTGAAGATGATGGCTGTACACATATCCCAGGTTGCCTAGGTAACCCTCTAATATATCTACTGTCAGGTCACATGTCAAGTAGTGTCTGGTGCTCTCATTGGTCACTCGCCCTCCTTAAAGCGTGTCTTTGTTCTGTAGTCCTCCCCTTGCTCAGATGGCCCCGCCCCTCCCTGAGCCTGGTTCTGCTGGAGGTTTCTTCCTGTTAAAAGAGTTTTTTCTTCCCACTGTCACCAAAGTGCTGCTCATAGGGGGTCATTTGATTGTTGGGCTTTTCCCTGGATTATTGGTCTTTATCGTACAGTATAAAGTGCCTTGGGGCGACTGTTGTTGTGATTTGGCGCTGTATAAATAAATTTAACTGAAAACAAGTCTCATTCTACTTTCACACACACTCTGATGAATGATTTGGGATAAACTCAAGGTTCAGTGTCTTGCCTAAGGATGAGTGAAGGCTAGAGGAGCTGACGATCAGCTAGCCGAATGTATTTGATGTTTTCTGGTCACCACGTCGCTGCCAGTGTGGTGTAGGCCCGAGTCTTGTGTCACATGCTAAGCTGGCACAAGCTAAGGTGAATCAGTCTTGTAACTGATTCAGTCATAATTTCACAGTCTTGGAGGAGTAAACAGGAAGCATTGGAAAGGAGACTGTTGGTTATTGGCCCATTAGTTGTTTTAAAGTGCAGGTTCTCAAAGTGAGGCCCGCTGACTCTGAGCTGAACATCCTGTAACGGCTCACAGTAGGGAGTAGGAGAGAACACACTTTACCTCCATTCATCTGCAATTCAAGTCAGAATGTATGAAACATTAGAACAAAATGAGACGAGAGCATTTTTTCCTTATTTCAACCATTTATGGGTATAGTTTTGTACATAATATTAATTTTTCTATTATCACTAATTATTGTTAATTTTCCCACCAAGAGCCTTGTGGGGAACTTTATTTCAGCCTATTCACAGTTCTGATGATTGGAAGCAAATAATTGAATTTTAAGAGGATATTTACAAAATTACACTGCAGAACAGCATTCTGGGTAATGCTAGCTAGTCAGCTAACACTGTGCAGCGTGAAGAACAGTGAGGAGGTGGAGGCTGGAGGGAAGAGAGCAGAGACCAGCAAAAGCAAAACGACGACGATGTTAACTCTGGTTTAAAAGCACACACAGTGACGTCTAATTAGACAAAGGTTGTACAATCATATTTTTGTTAATATTTGTCCACTGTTTTTGCTACACTGTTTCTAAACACACACACACATGTGTGTATTTATATCCTTGTATCGTCTCATTGATAATGCTTTCCCTAGCTGCTTACCCTAACCATCAAAAATGAATGCCTAACCCTGACCCTAAACCTGACCATAACCTAATTGTAATCCTGACACTAAAACCACATTTTGAGTCTAAAAATGCCTTCAAACTCGAGGGGACTGGCGTTTTGGTCCCCGCGATGGCTGTTTGTCCCCACAGTATAGTAAACTATCCATCTTTGGTCCCCATGAAGACGTTAAACCCTGTCCACACACACACACAGTGGTGAGAGGACATTTGGAGGTGACTGTGCTGTAACTCAATCTAGTCTGAGCTGTGCTGCAGACGATCCAAACTGCCTCTGGTCTGAAAGCAGCTTTGTTCTTCCTGCTCGCAGCCCGGCGCCGTCCCTGCAGCGACACACGCTCCCTCTGTAACACAACCCGGCCGAGCACATACACATCTGACAAGCTGCTGTCTGGATGCTCAGAGGAGCATGGATGGCGATCGTATGAGCAGCACTGAAATGTTCATATCTGACATGCAGTCAGACTCATGATACATAATGAAAGCAGTGACATTGTACTGGGTAACGCTGCCTAAACAAGGCCTGATGTAAAGATAATAATCTTCCTGCAAAGCTGCTGCTTGGACCAGCACAGGGGAGTGAAATTAGGACACCCCTGCTGCCTTTGACCTTGCCCTGTGACCTCCTGGTTTCATTAAACGTGTTGACATGTTGAGCATGTTTATGGGTGAGGACTGAGCATTAATACTCAGGGTTCAGCGACTAGCTGCTTCTTTCCTCGCTGGAGACGCACGGGTTGATGTGAGTCCTTCTCAGGTAAGTTTTTCTCTCTAATGCATGAAGATTCAGTCAGGATGTGTGTGCACAATGAAATCTCTAAACATCAGTAACGATAAGACAAACTCGATCATCATCCCCGAGAATGTGAGAACCCTGATATTGATTTGAAAAATGTGAGCTGCCTCTCAGATTACACCTGATTACACCTCCCACTTGCCTCCCTTGTAGTTTATTTTAAATCTCAGGTGAACGGGCTGAAAACTGGAACTAGACCTCTCAGGTTAAGATGATCAGTTTTTTTTATCACAAATTTTCTTCTGATGATTAAATATGTAAATGAGCCATTAAGTATTTAAATCTTTTCACAACACATTTCTTCATACTGCATAAAGTCACATTGAAATGAGTGTTTTCATTGGGCTGCTGCACAAGGGAACAAGAACTAAGCTGAGGGGCTGAAAGATTGGAGAGTCGTGCAGAAAACATTGGGACAAGTTTTACTTTCATGGAAGAGCTGAAGTTTGTTTTTAGGTGAACAGCTGTTTGTAAATGTGATGACAGAAATATTTAATCACTTTATTTAAGTAATAGTCATAATCGTAGTTGAAGAATAGAACAAAAGTTATGAAAGTACTCATGGAGGATCCTAAACATGATATTAGTGATTACTGTATATATCAGTTCAGTCACTTATATAATACCTGACACCGTTTCCCCTAATAATACATCATCATATAATAATAGATTTATGTTTTAAAATCTGCCAAATAATAAGCAAGTAAAGCTGAATGGCTCCTCGTATGCGAGGCCCCACTGGGACGACAACCCACAGAGACGTTCTGCAGAGGCTGTGTCTCTGCGGTGTCCCTCTGGAAGAGCTGGAGAAGGTGGCGGGGAGCGGAAGGCCTGAGCGTCTCTGCATGACCCCGACCAGAGAAGCAACAGAAAATAGATGGATGGAGTGCAAGTAATATACAGTCTCTGCAAAACATGGAAATACTTATATAAAGTAAAAGTATATTAAAATGTACTTTTACTTGAATAAATCTACTGTTCAAAATCTGAAAAATCAAGTGAAAATTTTACAAAATTAAAAGCTTTTTAGAAATATATTGATTGGTTGTAAAGACTTGAAAACTGAAAAATCTGCACAGCGTGCGGAGCACTGCAGCCCTCGCTGTGGGAATCACGACTCCTCTGAACGACTCACTCAGAATTTTTAAACATGAGTTTTTAAAATCACTCCACAAATGAAAAATTATTATTCATTTGTCGTGTACCAGAGACATATATCGCATTTCTAAATAACTGCATTTCTCTATAAATTTATCTTTTTTCCTAGTTGCAGTTTGCTGAGTGCCCAGCAGAGGTCAGCCATGTCCCACATCAACAGTACCGAGCTGCAGTCTCTCCTTCTCTCCGTCCTGCAGCACTGCCTCAACAGCACGAGCTTTCTGTCTCCTGCAGGGCCTGCTGAGAACTTCACTACCCAGCAGGCTGTGCAGCACGTGGCTGCAGGCAGGGCCCACACTGAGTCTCAGGGAATCATGTACATCCTGCTGCTGGTGGGCATGTTCAGCTTCTTCACGTTCGGTATCATGCTCAGCTACATCCGCTCAAAGAAGCTGGAGAGCTCTCACGACCCGTACCACCAGTACATCGCCCACGACTGGAACGCGGCCACGGCGCCGTCCAGGGCCGTCGCTCAGGCTCTGCGCAGGGTGGCCACGGGTGATGGAGCGGGCAGCAAGGAGCCCGTCATCATCTGCAATCCTGCGACGCAGGAGCAGCTGACGGACTAAACGAAGACAATCAATGACTCAAATAATTTAAATTGCAACACTCTCCACATTTAATTTAATCACATTAACCAAAAGTTACAGTGTCGGGTTTGCATTTCAGTGATTTCACAGAAATAACTCCAACAGTTACTCACACTTTGCACTCTGATTCTGATTTCTTTTAAACTTTTATCTGACAGGAAACACCTGCAGCTCTGAGCTGGGCTCTGATTGGCTGAGCACTAAACAAACAAATGAAAGTCTGGATCAATCTATCAGCTCTGCAGTTTAATGCAACAAACAAGGACATGGTGGCGGTGTAGGGCTGCCACGATTAGTCGACTAGTCACGATTACGTCGACTATCAAAATCGTCGACGACTGATTTAATAGTCGACGCGTCGTTTGAAGCTTTGTAAGATCCCAAAAGCAGGAATAAGTAGCAGGATTTAAGAGTGTAATAACGGACTGAAACAGAAGATGGCAGCACTGCATGTACAAGGATGCCAGCTGCCGTTAAACTCCGACGAAGAAGAAGCAGCTGTGTCCCAGAATTCATAGCGCAGCCCAGCTTAGTTTCCAACAATGGCGGCAGCTAGTTAGTTTTAATATTACTCTTATTATTCTTTCTGGGTCACAAAATAAACGTTTAACATGTTTTCAGGCGAGAATGTAGCTGTGTAAACCTCAAATATCTGCTCAGTTTATCAGGACACCGCATATTTTCAAAAGCGCTCCGACGTTTTCAGAGGCGTCTGTTACCCACTAGCTTGATAGCTAGCCGGGGGCTAGGCTAACTAGAGCCGTGAGAACACCGGACTCCCGACTAATCGTTTTCAAACCCACCGCCATCTTTCCCTACTCAGGTTAAACATGATATATGAGTCACTTAGATAACTTAACAATGTTATTGTTTGGCTTTTTTTAGTATTTTATTTGTTCCTGAGTAAATCGGTTTGGCTGAGATTAAAGTTATAGTTTTTACACAGCTGAATAAACGTCAAGCAGACAGCTGATCATCAGAAGTGTGAGATGCTGGAAAATTTACTCCGGTGTGCTGTTAGATTTTAGATAGCAAGGAGTTTATTAAACTTCACCGAAACAATCTGCAAATGTCATTAAAATTGAATAAACTATCATCTTGTCTTTATTGTTAGTTAGCACCTTAAACACTTAAAGCTGTAAGCTAATGATAGTTATATAAGAGCAGATGCTGCTGGTGCAATAAGCTGTACGTTTTACGTCCAATGGATGATGATCTGATTAGTCGACTAATCGCAAAAATAATCGGTGACTAGTCGACTATCAAAATAATCGTTTGTGGCAGCCCTATTGTGGTACACAATCCAACCACTTACACTTTGTTACGGATACCCCGACTTCTGGACATCTACAGAAACCAAGGACCACAATCCACAGTGATGAGCCTTTATTAAAGTTTGAAACCACAAGTTTCCCTACATCACCTTACATACCACCTATCTTTTAGCTATTAGCTATACCAGGTGTCCACCACCTTTGGACTGGAAGATGC